AWMWAATWAYAATAATAATAGAGRGAAATCATGAAACCTGAGAAACAAAACTTGACTATTTAATTATGATAGTCAAATAGACTCGAAAACAATACAATTAGAATGTACAAAGGTGCATTTATTTAGTGKGATATTTATTTCACTGGATTTTTGACTTCATTTTAATAATTAAATACTTCTGTTTTCTAWTGTCTGATCTACACTATATTGCCCTAATTAGCACTATTTTATTTGTCTTGTTGCGTGCTTAGTGATTGCACTCTAGCATGTGTTGGATTGTTGTTTACTTGTATTGTTTGATGTGATAACAATACGCCACCTACCAATAATCCTTCCAGCGTGACAGTCATGGATCACTAGCCTCATTTCAATCTCATTCCTGAGACACAAAAACAACAGCACATTTGCTTGAGTGAACTTGAACTTGGTTGAAAAGTTACCATGTACAACAAAACAGGGATAAAATATATGGTCTAAAAACCGTATTAGAGTGAGCTGCATTTTTGCTTCTAATGAAACAGTGTTGCACGTCACAATAAAAGCACCTTWTCTACACTTTTATGCAGTGTATAATCTATTTAATCACAACTACTTTTGTTTAAACAGGCCTACTATAAAGAGTACAAACGTAACACTGGCTTAAAAGCCTCAGTTTATGTTTCATCCTATTTCACAACGCAAAGCATAATGGGAAATAATGGTTGTGGCAGAGACTTGGCAAAACACATCTCAAAGTTGCCAAGGTGTTGATAAGTGATAGCAATACTTCTCTTATTCAATACAAAAATGCTGATTTTTGTTGATGATGTGTTTGGTACATGTATATCCCTACAAGTTTGTTTCTTTTTATTTGCCATACAAATGATGTGTTTTACACAAGTTTGTTTCTTTTTATTGGCCATACAAATTGAATATCCACAGGAGGTTTAGGTCATTCATTATCCCATCTCTTTTTGCAGCTACTTGTTCTGAGAACAGCAGCAGTATAAAGTAGTTTTGTTCTAGTTGTTGTTACCTTCTAAGTGATTCATCGGTTTCTTCACGCATCAGTTTGTGAATCTGCATGTTAGCCATGCTGCAATCATCTGGATTACCACGAATTGTCACKAGCTGAATAAGAAAATAATTTTGCAGGGTATCTTGAATACTATATTGTATTAATCAAAATACACGTTACAAGTAGGAAGAATCTAATGGAGAAAACGTGTAATGGAAAGCTACCAAGAGTAGAAATTTAAAAAATTCAAAAAGAATATAAATATTTGTACAATGGTCATTATTTTACACTGTAGTTTGCAATAATCATCAATCAATAATTTGATGAAATTATGGTACAAACTGCATTGAATAAATTTGTGTAAGGAATAAACATCGCTGCAGTGAAACATAATAATCTAAGAGATAATTAATAAATGGGACGCCTGCGAAAAAACTTTTCAGCAATCAAACACACTTTGCTATCACTTTGTTTTAGATGAACGTTAAGAGAACAATTTTTAAGGTACACTTTCTAGAAGTTAAGCTACTTGTATAGTAACATGTATAGACATGTTACCAGAAATTTCATGTACAAGAGAACAATGAAGAGAATATTACTTTCTTACCTTGTCTATCTCTCTTCTGTCCTCTTTACGATGGATGTCAATACTAATTAAAGAAGATTGGAAAAATGCTGAAATATCATCTAATGACATGGAATTTTTGTAAAAATTTTAGTTCTGGAACCAGTCACTTTGAATCTGGAATACGAAATCTAAATAAATGGCATCCAAATAAGATAAACAGATCCCTTGCTAAAATTATCATAGAATCTGCAATCCAAGAGTACGTAAGCCAAATCTGACAATGTAGCGGATCCCGTGTGGTGGGGAACAATAAATAACATCACAGCTTACTGAACAATAATAATAGATATAAATAATCACTAATACAGTAATTGTCAAAATCAGGGTTCTCAATAGTCACTAATAGTTGGAATAAATCACAAGAGATTGTTTAATACTAATCACTTTTTAGTGAAAATTATTTCTTGTTTTCATGTTAATGCATCTGCGGAAACTCAATAATGAGGCAAGTAATGTTTTGGTATTCTAACTCTTTATTGCTAATCACAAGGCAAACAAGTAAGTAGCCTTTCATTAATCATCATTATCATCATAATTAGGGAATAATAGTTGTAGAAAAATGATGACAATGCAATCAATGTCTTTCCAGATATTTTTGAGCAACATTATTATTGCAGTATTCATCATCAAGTGTTGACAGAATGTAACCATTTGCATAAAGAAAAAATAGAATAAACTTACGAAGTATTTGTGGCCTCTGTGATTTTCTTGATTTTATTTCCACTAGTGCCAATAACAGCTCCAACCATTTTACAAGGAATAAGACACCTAAATAATAAACAAATATATTTTTAAATATTTTCCTTTTTAAAATGTACATTACTTGTCTTTGTTGTATTCATGCAACATAATAATTATCAATATTAAGGTCTGAGGAAAGGCTCATGCCTGAAAAAAAATTTCGACTCTTCTCGCGCTCAGAGGGTTTATTTTGGTATAACTAACAACTTGTATCTGTTTTAAATCTTCAAAACATTGTATTTCTATGAGAAAAATAACCAAGAACTTCGTAAATTCGCGGGAAAATTTGTGCTTTGTTTGTGAAACACGAGATAAAGTCTTCACAGCTTGATCGTTTCAGAGGTCAAACTACCATGCCTTTACTACCTGGAACATGCGAGTATTCGGTTACAATGAGGTTGTTTGCTCATTCAGAATTACCCATTTTAAATACAGGATACACTTCTAATGTTATGTAGCTAGAACTGTCTATTGGAGACAAAACAACGAGTCTGTTGACTGTTTTTCGTGGTCAATTTGAAGCAGAATTTTCCATCTCGTGTTACAGTAATCTCCACATGCTCCGTGGGGTGTTGCAATGGATTACATCATGCTTATATACTACTTTTCGTGGGAAACAAGGACYGATCCAACTCCGATCGATTTCGGCGGGTTTTCAAGAGAAAATCGGCAATAAATCGCACGATATGACGTAATGTGACTYSAGAAACAAAATGGCGACTGGATATTGCGTCTTTGGGTTAAAAATCGTGCAATATTCCGTAGAAATTCGAAGTTTTTAACAAAGCACCGTTTGTTAAACTTTATAACTCTTTCAGATTACATTAGGAGTTATAAGGAGTTATAAGAGCTTAAAGCGTTTTTAAGCTGTTGCTATGGATACGGCTCACGCCTTCACAAACAAACAAGAAGGGTGTTGAMCTGTATTTTTCAAATCKCCAYTATATGTACTTTCATTATGTATACAGAAATGGCATCAACTCCTTATATATATTTTTTTCAAAATCTCTTCAAAATGACACTGGTTTACACTTTCCTCAGACCTTAAATAATTAACATTTTAAAGGACTATGTCAACCAGCATTTAATGTGGTCATGTTTTTAGATTTTCAGATAAAATGGAAGTGACATTGCATGATATCTGTTCACAATCTGCTGCAGTTCATCTGTTGGTTTTAAGATCCAATCTTTTTATTAATGTCTCTATTGATAAGGCATAATGGGATAATAGAAAGTAAGTGTTGGACAATATTATAATGTAGTTTTTGCTTTCAAACATCAACAAAAGCTCTTAAGGAATGCTGGTTGATTATGGTCCTTTAATATCAAGTACTTGAATCTTATTATTTAACATATCATATTTCTGATTTCCTCATTATTTTTGCATTTCTGTGTTAACATGATACTACATGTAGTAACCCTGATGTATGCACAGATGTAAACACATGTTCAAATAAACAAAAACATTGGTAAAACCACTGAAATCTAGTACGCTTCAAAATCTTTCCACATCATTTTGACTTGAATTCATTTTACTGCACCCAAAACAGGAGTCAATTATAATTTACCTAAGATAATAGCCGCCATTTTCTTTACCAGGTCGTCCTCCTCTTGGGCCTCTATACCTAGGTCTACCACCTCTATTTTCCCTGCCGTGATCTCCATGTTCGTGAAGACCTTCATCTGGCATACCATCTTCAGGGTTCATATAAGCAAACTAAATGAAAAAAATCAATACTTAATGCTGTCTAAACTAGGAATTATAATAACACTACATTTTCTTTATTTCACTGTAAAAAACATATACATTTAATATGTTATTAGGGGTTAAAGAAGAAGAAGAATTCTAAGCATAATTCAAATACATGAGTATTTAAGAAAATAAGGGAATACCAAGTATTGCAGAGCCTCAAACCTGGACAGAGACAGTTAGAATAATCATTAGGTGTTATGCTCTTTTAGTAGCATATTAATTGTCAAGATAATAATATATACATTTTAGTTTGACAATGGTAAGAATTGAAGTGTTTTTGACGACAAAGCAAAGGTCAAAATTATAAACAAGATATTTACATGTATGTGGCAAATAATATTATCATCAGTATTGATTTGTAACTTAGAGATAAAAATATAATCACTAAAAAGCAACATTTTGATGAAGATTTACATAACTAAATATAAAATTTTGATCCCAAAAGGCTTTGAAAAAAGGTCTGAAAAAGAAATAYTTGGCATAAAAATAAACATTGCTTATTGTCTCTATAAAGCCTAGAATTATAAACAAAGACGTTTGAACCAGACTCTAGAACCAAAACATTTTGTTTGGATTCATGAAAATATAGCTGAAAATATAGTTTACCTTCAAAAAATCTTTAAATGGTTTTTTCAGAATACGCTTCATAAGAATTTTTGAAGGCATGATGTGGCAGAGATTGGACCTCTACTTTGAATTCTAATCATTGGGATTTATGCATTTTATCCATGACAATCTCTAAGAAACTATTCAAACCCACAAAAATGTCCCACAAAATTTATGTAAATCTATGACTTATAACGTCCATTAATTGGTCCCACATAAAAGTGAAAAATTAAAACACAATTTAGGTTTGATTACCATTTTGACAAATTAACTCATAATAATACATTTTTTTGTAAAAAAAATGAACAAATTGTTGAAAATCACAACTAAGTTACATGTACACTTGCTTGCAAGTTCAAAGAAACAATAGACTTCAAAAGTGCACTGACATGTTCCATGTGTTGATGATAAGTGATTAGGAATTCATGTATTACCTACCAAGTTTATATCAACCATCTCTACAACAAACGCTTGTCAGAAAAAAATCTTTTATCTATCTATTGATGGGTTAATATCTTTGAACCATGTGCTCTTGTACTATTAATGCTGCATTATTAATAAGAATCTTTTGGTTAAACCCAGCAGGTGCCAGTCGTATTCTCCAAAATATTTTTATTCTTTGAARTTTAAACACTTGTCACAACTAAAGCTACATGTACTACAATTTTATGATAAAAGACTTCCCAATTGTTGCCAATAATAACACTTCTAAACCTACTGACCATGTCTTCCTACATTGTACAATATGCCTTTTTGAAATTGTCTTGTTAAAACACCTTATCTCAGTACATGTAATGTACCATGAATTTGAATCCACAAGGGAAAAAAACTCAAACAGTTTAAAAACTCAAACTTCAAAAAAAATCAGTACTATAAATAGAATAGTTAATTGAATAATACCATTGAATGGGACCTATAAACATACAAACATTGTTCCTTGTTTTTGGCAGTTTGAGTGTACGATAAATTTATGCTCTTAAATTTGAGTACACAAAATAAACTATGCGACCTTTGGCCAAAATAAAACACCTTGACTGAAAGGTGTTTTGTTCAAAAGATAAATGCTTTATAAAACAAAGACACGAACACAGCCACATTGACTCCAACAGCAATATTGTCATCAACAAGTCCTGGCTATGTTACTAACAACTGGGTTTATTACCTATATGATCATGGATATATGTCCAGATCTGCTCCTTTCAAGAATTACACCATAATAAAATATAAATCTTTAACAATGTCTGTAGTTGTTTTTACATCTGAAACTACCATAAGCCACCTTAATCCCTACTGCTATTCAAGTATTGTAGTAGAAGCAAGTTAAATCCTCTAAATCCAGCCACAACATATCCACATCATATTTTACTATGCAGTCAAAACACACATAGCCACACACACGCAATGAAACATCGGTTGCTAAACATTCAATGTGTGCATGCATTGTAATGTTAGCATAGAAGGCTTATCTCAGTACTGGTAAGTAGCAATGCAATTATGCACTGCAAACATGGATGTTTTTTACATGTATGCCTCAGATAAACGTTCAGCAAGGAACTAACAGTACCACTCTGAACTTGCATGAAATGCATTTCAGAACTGTACACTGATTTATTTTTTATTCATTTTATGTTTAACTCTATAAGTTACGATGCTCTTGATAAAATTCATTAATTTAAACAAATCTCTTTGGATGAATTTAACCTAACCAGATGTACATGTATATAGCATTGCCTTTTTTTATGTGCCACATCTGCGTTTGTTTTTAAAATGTCATTACTTCTACTATCASATTTTWGGCTAGTTCAACAAGGCTAGTTCAACTATAGTTTCTCTGCACAATGCCCTTATTTTGACTTTCTCTTACTCAAGTAGTACATGCAGTTTGTCTAATCACATTGTTATTGGTAATGCTTCATTATCATGGAAAAACTTAGTAGTAATACATTAACAACCAGTAAAAATCCTTTCCTCCAATAAGAGTTTGTGTAAGAATCAGCCAATCAGAATCTTTTATAGTCGTTGTAGTTGTGGGAGCTTAGAACATGGTTTGTGTTCTACAGACAGACTTCGTTCCAAAGAAAATTCCAGATGTGAGAATAGCATAAAAGTGCACATGTTTACTTGTTTGAGCTCACCATACACTGTATCAACGTCCAGAATATTTAGAATCAAAACTAACCAAAAATGCTAAACATTTTGAATCACTGGATGTATTTGAAGCAAAAGCAAAATAATCATTTGATTTGCAAGAAAACCAGTTACTGCATTCATGCATTGTGTGGCATTTTATCAGAAATATCAATCTTGGGTGGCCATTGTTCAAGTAAAATTACAACAGCGTTTCAAGTTCATGATTAATGTTGCAAACTGCATACCAAAAATCCAGACAGATTTGACAGAGGTCACCGGATACAAGATACAACATACAAGTTGTCTAAGTACTAGCTTCTATTAATAACACAGCAAATGTTGTTGGCGATTAAGTGACTTCCGCATCTAAGTGTATAAAAATAGCAACTACAACTGTAGATCAATGATCATATTGTACATGTGTAAAAAAATTCATCCTAAAATACACATGTGCTTTTCATCAAGAAATGAGATAACCTAGTTCTTGTGTAATCTTGAGTCACTGATTCAGACAGAAAGGCCAAAGACCACTAGCACAGGAAATCACTTTGATGGCGGTAACATAGCCCTTTGCTGGGAATAATAATGCAATAATTATCTTTGAAAACATTGAAAATTATGCTCCTTTTTAACTTGCAAGTTGTTTAAAATATTTCTTTGTCGCAAGGATGTAGCGACTCAATCAAAGAAGGTATAGTGGAATTTTCACTGACATGTGAAATACATTTTTGGTTAATTTTTTTAATTTTTACATAAAGTGACTTTAACTGTTAATCATGGACTCTAATAAATCTATTTCCTTTGACTTTATCGGAAGTTTAAAAAAACTGTATGGCATATACATTATTTCTGAAATCTTCCACATTACATACATGTACATGTTAGTCTTTGAACAATAATTAATAATTTCTGTATAAACACTATCCAGACATGTGCGATTACCATAATACAAACTCAGTTCTATAATAAATTAATGTTCTCTAACAATGAGATTTTGACAGTACTAACTCTCAATACAACCATTTCACCAATAATCTGCGATTACTTTCCAATCTGTGCTAATATTCTACACTGAACAATTGTTTGTTGACTTAAATATTTTATTTTAAATATTTTACTCTGTGCATAATGTATCAGCATAATAATTATTTTATTCAACTGGTTTGTAAAAATCATACTAAAATGAGGATATCTCTACAGTTTAATTTAAAAAAAACAATGAATACTGAAGACTGTATGTTATTCTAAACTGTCTGATGGTTTTGCATAGATAAACTGATTATTAAGTGCAGTCATTACTTAATGTTTAGTTCAAACACCTGCACATTACATCTTCACTTACAAAAACAAATAAATAAAATTCAGATTTCTCACTTTTGTACACCTTGTTCATAAACAATGAATCAAATCAAAACACCATTTTAAAATTCACTCTACCAAGAGATGAATATAGATACGATGTTCTATGTTTATGGGTACATTTTGTGATGATAAACATTGATAATAAATGTACTTGGAAAACTGAACTATAGTATGCAAAACTAGATTTATCTCAATGTCTTATTCATTATTCGCCCATCGTTTTTGTTTTCATGGAGTTTTAGATGCAGATGTGAACAGGTTTGGAGTGGTTTAACACTAATATGTTGATGAATTGAGGAATAATCAGTTGTCTTATCTTAGTAAGCCCAACTGATAACATACCTAGAACACCATACATGTATGTAGTATAAAATTGAATTTCATATTTTAGAAATATTCCAGTTTTACAGTGAAGAAACAATATCTATAGCACTTGCAAAGTCATCCTTTGACCATTTTAAGTGMCACACAGGATGAAAAATTCAAGAAGATTATTGACAGTTCCTCTCACYCATTACTGAATTATTTAAACCTTTGTCACGCCATAAGAAAACCACCAAAACAATGTGAACTGCACTGAACCATTTCATGACACACATTTTTCATTCACTGATAACCCCCATGAACCATGTCAGACACTAAACTCAAACTACATGTACTCCTACTTTAGACCATAATTTCGAAACAAGGCGAGCCGACTTTAAGTTACACAATTATTTGGTAATTTTAATTAATCAGAAATAACTGCAAACACCAATACAAACATTTTGACATCATTTTGTCTGTATTACTGAGTAGAAAAGATTGAAAAAATTTCAAGGAAAAAAACATTTGAGTATGATAAAATGCATGTACATATGTATGTA